GTCACATTTCACAGTTTATGTTAAGTGTCCATGTCAAATATAGTGTCTTTTTTCACCGAGCAGGACTGCTGAAACCGAAACTGCTAGTTAACAGTGAAGATTTTGTTTAGAGCTTTAAGTTGGCCAAAAAAGACAAAGAGGGCATCACAAAACAAAACAAATACCTTCCTGTTGTTCTTCACAATCTCTTTGAGGACAAAAGCAAAAAAAGCCATAGGGACACTGGATCTTCTCTATATTGTGTTTCATGAGGGGCACACTTGCCAATACAGAAGCATAGTTTAAGAGGGTTTATCTCTTTCAACTGCCATCTTTGTGAAACACATTGTAGTGATATGGAGTCAAACTTATCAAGAAAATGAGCTGAATTATCTCTTTTATCAGTGTGGTATATTCACTATGACACTGAACCTATCATTTACTGTCTGTGATTTAGTTTCCATTGAGCTTTAACATTGCAGAGACTGTTTTAACAAAACACAATAAGGGTTAAGAGGCAATAGTGAGCAACTTAAAGGTGTTCTATTAGCATCTGTAAATTTCCTCTGTTGTTTGGGGTCCTGGGGGTCCAGCTACTGGCAACAAGAGGGTGTGAAATGCAGGGGGGCGTCAAGTAAGTTATCGGTGGTAGTGAATTCTACAGCTCAATGTTCAAAGAAACACAAGCGACACAAGGATGTTCCTGTTTGAAAAGGTACCAAATTTTAGTTTCATTTTAAAATCCGGTGGGCCCCTCATGCCACAGATAAAATGCCTATGACTATAACTCTTGCTTACTGATAGGACACGCAAGCAGTAGTTTCATGGGATAGTTAAAATATCTTTCTTCTCTTTTAACATGGTGTCGCACCAATAAATGTCTGTGAGAGCGTAAATACTTTGATTTATGACCAAATACCTGCAAAATAGCAGCAAATGTTGGCATGTTAACAAACTATGCTGGAAATAATGGTTAACTTTATGGCGCCCCAAACATCGGCATGTTAGCATTGTCAATGTGCGCATGTTAGTGAATAAAGACAATAACCATAAAGCTGAACCATCAATAAGATAGAGAGATTGATATCTGATTCAACAGTCTTATAAACCTTAACTGAATTATTCAAAATAAACAAAACCACAGGAAACAAACACGGTTATTTGAACACCAAAGGTATTTCTTCAAAGACATGGCTGGAAAAGGACTCTCAGTCAAATCATTTTGAGATCTGTGTGCATTAAAAAAAAAAAAAAAATTCACTCTTGTACATTATGAACTTTCTGTAGTTTGAGCAGTTCCTGAGGAAGTGCATTAGCATGCACGAGGCGTTAGTGGTTAGTAAGTGTGAAATTTGCGTGTGAGACAGAGTGGTTTAAAATAATAAAAAAAAATGATTCATGTCTCAAGCCCTTCCTCAGAGCTCAGACTGGAACATCTGCAAGTAAAGAGGAACCTGAAACCCGAATACGTACCGGGGAAGGAGGGTCGCATTAAAAGTTGAGAGACACAATTGTTAATCTGACAAGTAACAGGTGAATTCTGAATCTTTCCCCGCCGGAGTGACTGAAAAAACAATGATTCTGTTGCAGGAAGGATTGACTCATCATCCACCAACCAAAATGTGCACAATCTGGAGTAAGTGGTGATGTTTGACTGTGAGTATAGATACAGCTTCCCAACCTGCCTTGCAGACCAGGGGCTGCTTATTTGTTGACACTAATTGGAGGAAGCTTTTGATGTCAGCATGGTCAATGGGTCAGCTGGAAGGGCCTGCAAGCTTTCACACTAGCCCTCTATTTTCTTCAAAGGCCTCTGGAGAACCATCATTGGCATGGGCTGAAGATGGGAATGTTGTTGCTTGGGCTTAAATTAAAAAGAACATTCCTCAACCTACAGACAGCCTTTCAGGCATCGCAGAACATCTCATACAGCGTGCAATACCAGTTGACTTTTGTCATGTACTGAGACAAATTACAACAAATGGCTGCCTGAAGGATAGAACAAAAAAATAATAGAAGTACACAGATATGTAAAAAAAAAAAAACACTTAACATTATCATTGGAAAAAATCTGGACTGATTAACTAAATAATCACCATAAACATGAGTATAGAAATGTGTATGATACAAACAAAATATTAAGGTTGTCCAAAACAGTATAATGCTAGAAAACAAACTCAACATCGCCCTACTGAAAAGTTAAAGGAATGGTTGACATTTTGGGAAGTGTATCTTTTCACGTTCTTGCAGAAAGTGAACTGAGAAGAGTCTACATATGTTATTTAAATTCTTCAATGTAATTACTAACCCTTATAATTTACAGAAAAATTGTAATTTTACATTATGCTTGGTTTAAAAACCTTAAATAATGCAAAAACAGGTGTGTATTGAACATTATATTTTTATTAAACTGTGTTTTTTACGTTGGAAACTGGCATGACATAGAAGTCTCACCAGGCGGGAGTCTTAAAGTTATTACCAAAGTGAAATGTTTCTGGATCATATTCAACACATACATTAGAGGATCATGCTATTATCCTGTCTTGTATTCATTATTTTTTATTTAAATAAGAAAGAAGAAATCCGCATTCAGACAGGAGCCGCTATCATCGGTCACGACACATCACTAGCACAAAGACTGGAAATGGGGAAACAGCTAGCCTCGCTCTGTCTGAAGGTTATGAAATCCATCTACTTGTAAATTTTTACAACATTTAGTAATTTACTAACAGACTCCATGTTATTCCACTATATATTCTTTTTGCAAACATCGACATTTGATTTATGATACTGAAAATGAATCTTTGTACAAGGGTGTACCAGCAGCAATAAATATTTACACATGCATGGTTCTCAGGCAGTGAAGAAAGCAAGCACAGTATGTTCTCTATTACACACATGCAGGAAATGTAAAGGAGCTGAATTCTTATTTGTATGCCCACTCAAGGACAGTACAGTCTCCCCATGTCACACTGGAAAAGAGGCCAAGGCAATGCGACTTCATAGTACATCTGTGCTATAGGACACCACGTACTTGACAAAGATCCTTTGTGAAGAGGACTCCGAGCAGTATACTCCCGTTTAAAGAGGGCCCTATTTAGACCAGCCACTAAACAAATGAGCTAAAGTATCGGTCTCTGTCCTCTCTCCTCTTCACAATGCTCCATTGACTCAGCATCATGCTTTATCAAATCTGCTTCATGCTTGAGGTCTGGCAGTTATTAGTAAAAATCTAGTCGGTAAAGACTCACCTCCCTGATCATATTCCCTCCCCCCCCTTGCTACCTCCATTATGAAAAAAAAACCTCATACATACAGAGCTATGCAGTTTGCTGCAACTTTTATTGTATATTACTGGTTGCATTTGATCAACTGGATAGTGAAACTCATGTCTACTGTATCTGTGTGGATGACTGTGTTGATAAAGAAGAATACAACAGGAAAGCACTCAAAGGTGAACTCTGAGATTGAAAAGAAAGCGCACGGGACATTCTAGACGGCTGACATAACGCCACAGAGAAAAGCTACCATGACCTCTGTCACCGTTCGAGGCGGGGGGCAACAAATCTCTAAATGGAGGTATTCAGTGGTGCCATCATCAGTGCCTCCCGCCCAGGCACCTTCAGGAACAAAGATCCCTGTTCAGCTGTCAGGGCCTCGGGATGACAGCATACTGCTGTCCCGTCTGGTAGTGTCACTGAGAGAGAGACCTGCCCAGCAGCACAGGGGCACTGTTAATAAAGTCCAGTTTCCAGAGCACATTGTGTATTAGTTTATTTCACCTACTCGCACACGCATAATTACTGTTACTGTTTAGCTTTGTTGTCCTTGTTATTGACAGTGTAAGTATCAGTGTTGGACTAGTTACTCAAAAAAAGTAATTTATTACTTATTACTCCCTGCCAAGAGTAATTAAGACTAGATTTGTTCTATTTCTTTTCTGCTACTCCCCTCAAAATTGTCCCTTCTCCTGAAAATTCCGACTTACTTAAAATCCAGTTTTGTTTGTTAAATTTAAAGTGATGGGAGTATTTCCATCCGTAAAGCGTTTCCATCTTCCAGGCTAGTTTCCTACACTATTAAAAAACCGAATCCAAGGATGTCATTGGATTTCCTTGTTTCGGGGAGGGCTGTTTATTAGTAATTAGTAACTCTACTAGTTACAAGTGAGTAATATTACTTGTAATGCCTTGCTGCCTCAAAAGGTCTGAGAGAGAATCACTTGCATGCTTGGTGATTCGAGTCCCACAATTTGGAGGGGCCGAACCATTGCCTTGGTCTAGTTTCCCTGCTAACTGTGGGATTTGAATAGGCAAAGCTCCACAGATAATCTGCATTTCTAAGGCTGTCCGTTCAATACCACTGTTTTGTAAATAGCCTGAATAAGACTGTGCAGATATGTCCGTTTTAAATTGTAATTTCTGGACAACATTCAAGCCTTCATAGATGGCACAGCCCTGGGTTAATCCTAAATCCATCAATGCCCAGTTTAGCATCACTTGCATATAAGTACACTCAGTATGCACAGCTCCCCATCAACAGAACACCGGCCATTGTCTGGAGGTGTCACTACACTCAAAGCGCTTCCCAAACGAGATTGCCACCTGGTGGAGAAAAGGAGTTGTCATCCATTAACTATTTTCAGCTGACCTAACAGTGATGCAGCATTTTTTTATTCGTAACAAAGGCTAGATATGGTTACATTTGTGTGGTCACAAATATTACTGGCAGACTTCTAGCCGATTTTAAATAAACTGTCAATTCCTTTTTTATGTCAGCTGGGTTGGACAATATTATAAACACTAATCATACAATGCAATACGAGCCTCCATAATTATCATAGCTCAATCAACAGATTTTGTTTGTTTAGCATTAGATGCCACTAGCTGCATTCAATAAAGTAGCAACTCAGTCATTGTTCACAATTGCCAAGTATGGTTACTCTTTCTCTGTATTCGATGATACTGAGGGACCCTGCTGATACGTCAATGCGGAATTCAATGGTGCAATAAGAACAGACATTTAAAAATCACCACCTACAAGATTTTATTTAATCACGTGAAAATCTTGAGATTCTCAGATGGGAAAAAATTAGTCAATGCACTACAAATATTTTTATGTTACATACATAAGAGGTATTTCATCCTCTGTGACTCAGACACTGACTGTGCCCCACCAAAACAACATGACAGAACATCTTTGCCATATTTCTTAACACCCAACTCTAGAGCACTGACTCATCTTCTATCAAAATATGCTTTGCACATTACAGTAAAACTTGGCACCTAAAGCAAACTAAACAAAATAAAAACAAAAACATATGGATACAGGTGTAATTTTTTTTTTTTACAAAAGGTAAAATAAAATCATACAAACTGTTTAAATTTACACAATGTATCTGACAAAGACGAGCGTATTTTTCACAGCAAACTTGTTTGCCAGACCCATTCCATTTTACTCCTTCAGAAAAGCAAGTAAGCTAATGAGGGCAAGAGGTGCAGGTTTGCATTAGGGACATTCAGTACTAACACGTAGTACTTGAGCTGAGAAGGTCAAAAGTACCAGTCTGGCACAGAAGGGTCGGGAAGGTTTTAGGGGTCTAAATAAAGGGCTAAAATGCCCATTAACAGTTAAATATATATCAATGACGCTTTCTGGAATGTCCAAAAGCTCTGAAAAGTGATGAAACCAGAGTCCATTCGAAAAGTAAAATAGACCAAGGATTTAGTCATCAAACTTGATTTTCTTCCCCTGGGGTTTAGCTCCAAATCCACCGCCACCTCTTCCACCTAGAATGAGAAAGGAAAGGAAACTTAGTTAAGTTCACTGGCCAGAATCATTACGACTCGAAAGGACCAAAGTATCATCCAGCCCAAACCAAAAAATAAAAATCACAACCCCGCACATCAGCTCCATAACTTTTGTCATTCAGCTCATGAAAACCATGAAACCTCATTATTGCCTTTCCCATCCATTTCAACAACTAAATGTTAGCTGACTAGCCATTAGCTGGTGTCCTCTGCCCCTTTAAGCTAACAGTAAATAATTACCTCCAAAGCCGCCACGTCCGCGTCCACCTCCACGAGGGCCTCCCCTTCCTCCTCCTCCTCTGCCGCCACCACCACGACCGCCGAAGCCTCCAAAGCCTCCGAAACCGCCGCGGCCTCCTCTGCCGCCACCACCACGGCCTCCAAATCCACCGCCAAATCCACCACCACCTCGACCGCCACGGAAGCCACCTTCACCCTTGGGCTTGGCGTAGTCCAGGGTCACCTTGCTGCCATCGATCTCACCGTCATCCATGGCCTCCTTGGCTGCCTTGCAGTCGTCCTCATTGTCAAAGTCCACAAAGCCAAAACTACAGGGGGAAGGCAGAAGAAAACTTCACTAAAAAGGCCAAGTGGAAACTCACTAAATGTTAAGATTAAATAAAGTGATTAGTTTTAATAATCGGATCAAATTTGAAAATGTATTTAATACCTAAACTGATGTTCTCAATACTTTTAAGTACCAATCAACCATATTGTGTTGATTTGTATCACATCAGACATGGGTAACTCCCACTAAGGTAGCTGCCTGTTCAACTGCGAGTTTGCTCTTCTTCTCATGCGAATCCGTACACTGTCACTGCTGGACAGACTGGTGCTCATAAGAGTGAACAGCCCGAGGAACTATTTACAACTCTACAAACTTACCCTTTTGATGACCCTGTGTCTCGGTCTGTGACTATCCTGGCTGCTACGGCGCCCTCAAACGAATCCCTCAGGGTCTGATCTGTCGTGTCCTCGGAGAGACCCTTGACAAAGAGGGTTTTTGTTGGACCTGGTGGCAGAGAGAAGTCATTAAAACTATGGCTTTTATGACTACAATGGAAATGTGGACTAACAAATACTCCAGCAAGCTAAAACTTCTTTACAGACCAGATCAGGACTTGACTATCCTTCATTCATCACAGAGTTTCAGGATGGGTCAAGCTTTCATCACACCTGGCCCACCTTCAAAAGTAAAGTTTGCAAACCTACCTGAGTTTCCCCTGCCCCCTTCTCTCCCGCCACTGTTCTGGCTGTACTCCAGTCGGATCGACCGGCCTTCAATGTCTGTGTTGTTGAGGTTTTCCAGGGCATCCTTGGCCTCCTCTGTGCTCTCAAATTCTACAAAAGCAAAACTAAAGAAAGACGTACAACATTAGGAAAGGGTAAACTCGAACAAAGTCTTGTTTACCATGCAGGTGTTACAATCTCTTATTATTTTGCCAAGTGCATTCTCAATTAAACATTTCTACCTGTTGCACAGCAGACATAGGCTACACCCATATGAGAGTAGAGTCAGTCTGTTCTAACTGCGCATTGGCTCTGCTTCTCGTGCGAATCCATAATAATCACGAGTAAGATTAAGAGGAGCTCATGAGAAGGTGTAGCAGTTTGAGATTTGACCCGTTTTAAGGATGAAAATTTACAGCCCATTGAAAGATCGACCCTCTTGAACCCATCAACGCAGTCATCATATGCCACACAGATTACTTACCCTTTAGGTCTGCCATCTCTCTGTGGAATCCTTATAGAGACAGCCTTCTCAAATGTGGATTGTAGGACTTCCTCTGTGGCACTGAAGGCCAGATTATTCACTACCAGGGTTTTACTGGCTGCACCGGCCACTACACGGAGAGAGGGAAGAAAGCATACTGGTGAGATGAATATGAAGACAAGCTTTTATATTCTACCATCTTGAACAGCTTACGAATTTTTTCAATAAACATTCTGCTATAATCACTGGGTAATTAACTAACGCACACAAACAACAACTTTACTAGAGTTTAAACACCAATGCTAGCTTTGTAACCGTACAAGATGTTTAAAGAGTTTACCTGACACCTTGCCCCCCTTCTGGCTCTTTTCTCCAACAAAATCAACCATGATGGACCTCCCCTGTACGTCAGCTCCCTGGGCCTCCTCCAGCATCTTCTCTGCTTCGGCCTCAGTTTTGAACTCGATGTAGGCAATGCTGTCACAGGAGAAAAGAGATTACTTGTCTGGAATATGAGTGGTATATTACCAACTAAACTGCTGGTCAGCTATACATGAATGGCAAGTTTTAGTACTTTGAGATGAAAATCAGATCAACATCCGTCCTCTATAGCCTATACATTAGTAAGTTTCCTACACTGTCTAGGATTCTCATCCAAGATTAGTTGGAAGGACTCGTGTGGAGCTTTTGTGTTACTTGTATATTCTACCAAGCAGTGTCATCTGTTTAAGAGAACAACAACAATTACATCTCTATTAAGCTCTGGTTTGTTCTTACCCTCTGTTTGAACCGTTCTGGCCTGGAGGTAACCTGACATCTACAGCATCTTCAAAGACTTCCTTCAGGTCATCAGCAGTTGCAGAGAAGGGAAGGTTTTTTACAAACAGTGTGCGTGCATCCCTCTCTGTGGGACAAATGTCAAAGTCAGTTTGGTTGTTGGTTCACTTCTTTTCAATCTTTTTTTTTGTAACTTTCCCATGACATACACAGGCACATGTGCAGAAAAAAATAAAAGCATTAATGTAACAGCGATTGAGGATAGAACCGGCAGACCATCAAATACACACCGGTACCGAAGACATAGCGCTGCATTTACTGTTCCTCCGTACATTACACACATGAGTACTAAATAACCACATGCATGCCAAGAAATGGAGGTTGTGTAGCAATTTAAAGTTAGAATGCAAAATTTTAAGCAGAGTGCACCCCTCCCTCTGTGGGACAAATGTCAGTATGGGTATCTTACCTTTCTTGCCCTCCTGTGAGCTGTCCTTGCTTCGGGCCCTGTCCAACTTAATCTCCTGGCCCATGACCTTCTTGCCATTAAGTTCCAGTGCCTTCTGCATGTCATCCTCAGATGCAAATTCCACATAGCCAAATTTCCTGTTGAGGCAAGCCATGCAAAAACCGTTAGACATTCCTGCTTCAAGGGAGAGAAAAAAAAGCTCTGACATCATGGCATGCCAGGGTTTGAAAACTGTCTTGGGTTGCATGTACAGATTAATTTCACCATTTGGGGGGGGGATTCATTGTAAAGTGCAATATAAAAAATGACTACCATCAAGAGAATTAAAATAGTAACAGATACATCAACTCTCAAATCAACCATTTTTGACAGCTTGCAGTTAACACTAGATTGTTATCACTGCAGATGTTGACCTAATTAAACAGGCCTAATTAAAGTTTTAGTCTAGAGTTGTAGCACTAGCATTTTATCTGTACTGCCTTTGTTGTGGCACTGAAAAATATCAAGAGAAACACCTGGATTTGGGCACCATTTAAAAAAATTAAATGTATTGCTTACTTGGATCCACCTAACCGGACATCGGTGACCTCAAGTTCGTTCTTGGTGAAGAATTTTCTCAGGGATTCTTTGATTTCTTCAAAGTCTTTGTTGGAGTTCAAGTTTCCAACAAATAGACAAAACCCTGGTGAATGGGAGAGAAAATGTCCACTGAGTTTCATTTATTGTATAAAAATGTATCTAATGCATGAATTATGCCACAAAGATTCAGAATAAAAAAAGGTGACATCACACATCAGTATTAAGTCCCTTGTTGATCATCATAATAAATATTCTGAAGTTTGATGTATAGGCAAGAGCATTTATTCCTACCGTCGCCTTCTGACTTCGCCTTCTTGGCTGGAGGTGTGTCTTTCTTGCCCTCTGCCTTCCTCTTTGCAGGAGTCACTGGGGCATCTGTAGAGACAAGAGGATTGCATTATATTAAAAATTCACAGACATTGATTCTGCCAAGACAGAAAGGAGGTCTGGAAAATGCAAATCGTTTTAAACTGTACTAAAGGGTTAGCATAAATAGTGAACATGTTTCAGTCATCACTATTTATTTCATTTGGATTAAACACTGCATTGTTTGTCTAAAATATGTGCACTGGTTGTATTTTTGGAATTTGTCTACTGTCCACATGTCATGTACCATGTAATTTGTTTGTCCTATGGTGCATATTACCATTTTTTGGTAGAGCTAGTCAAGCAACAGCATGGGAACCATGATACTCCAATGGGTTCACTGGGTCTTCTCTATCAATATGGCAATTTTTCAAGTTCAGCCATGTTTTGCACATTTTCACCCATGGTGATATTAAAATTATTTATAATGTAAATAAATAATTTGAAGTACCTTTACACAGATTGGAAATCTACTTTGAGAGTGAGCCATCTATTAAAACTAAGTAATAAATTAGATTGATATAGCATATTTTGGCTAGTGATCATTCAATTTCTGCATCACCAAACTCACCATCTTCCTCATCGTCCTCATCGTCGTCGTCGTCATCATCGTCATCGTCCTCCTCAGACTCTTCCTTGGCCTTCACCATGCCTGCTTTCTTTGCCTTTGCGGCTGCTGGAGCAGGGGTGGTGTCCATCTCCTCTTCAGAGTCTGAAGAACCACAAACACTGTTAACAGTCATTCCAATCGGGAACAAAATCAAACCACTGATCACCTGCCATTAACCTGCATCAGATCTATATATAAAGGTGACATCATACAAAATCAGTATTAAGTCCCTTGTTGATCATCATACTGCAAGACTGTAGAATAAACATTCTCAAAAACGAGAAAAGTAGTCAAAAAAGTTGCAGTCTTACCATCTTCATCGTCGTCATCGTCAGACTCCTCTTTGGCAGCTTTGGCCTTTGCAGCTTGTTTAGCTGGAGCTGCCTTCTTGGGAGGTGGGGCCTCTTCTTCTGAATCCTCATCTTCATCATCAGAGGACTCCTTTGCAGGTTGAGCTTTCACCGCAGGCTTGGCAGCAGGCTTGGCAGCAGGTTTGGCTGCTTTCTTGGGTGGTGGGGCCTCTTCTTCTGACTCGTCTAGACAATAAACACACAAATTGTGAATTTCAACAAAAAAAAAGTGCATGACAATTCATTTGGAAGAAATCTGCAGAGACAAAAGCTATAACACATGAATGTAACAGCGATTGAGGATAGAACCGGCAGACCATCAAATACACACCGGTACCGAAGACATAGCGCTGCATTTACTGTTCCTCCGTACATTACATACACGGGTACTAAACAACCACATGTATGCCAAGAAATGGAGGGATTGTGCAGTAATTTTTGAAAAAATAAAATTATATAAAAAAATTAACATTAACATGCAAAATTAAGTTTTTCTGCAGTCTGCAATGCTGTTTCTTACCATCATCGTCATCATCATCTGACTCCTCAGCCTTTGCGGGGGCTGCCTTGGGTTTAGCCGGTGCTGCTTTTGCGGGGGTCTTTTTTGGTGGTGGGGCCTCCTCCTCAGACTCCTCCTCTGTAGGTTGAAGACCATACCAAATTATAGTATATCCAATTGGAACATGACAGAATAAATCCACAGTAGTGGTGAGTGGATGTTTTGATATCAGTCATTCAACCTGACTTCCTGGTTAGCTGTAAAATCTACAGTATTAAATGCAGATTTTACAGAACAGCATTTTGCATTTTAAGTGGTATAACATGTCAAATGCAATTCTCCTTTTGTGCAGTCATCATGTCTGACTAATGCCCAATTAAATTTTATAAATAAGGATCAGCCTGTCACTATTCCCCATACATTTGGATTGTACACCCAAATGGATTTACTCTGAAAACATTAAAATGTCTTTCCAGTTGCTACAGACTGGAAAACAGCTCTCTCATCACAGGCGAGCTCATGAATGCAATTAAACGACCCATATACAAACTGCTTTCAGGGAAGAAAATTGTCAAAATCTCCAGAATAGATACTAAATGGACCTTGCGTTGAGATGTTAATCACGTGTATCAAATGAAATTGCTCACCAGAATCATCGTCATCCTCACTTTCTGCTTTTTTGGCAGGAGTGCCATTTTTAACGGCTGGGGCGGCTTTGGCTGGAGTGGCTTTCTTCACTGCTTTAGGTGGAGGTGCCTGCAATACAAAAACACAAAACCCGGTTTAAAATCTGCATTTACTTTGCTTTAAATGTCCGGGAAAACCCCGCAATGGTTTTATACGACGACAAACTCAAGTATACCGCACCTCTTCTTCCTCATCGCTGCTTTCCTCTTCACTAGATTCCTCCTCCACTTCTTTGGGGGGTGGAGGGGCTTTTTTCTTCTGAGTTGCTTGCTTGTTTGCTGCCTGTGAAAAGAGACAAAATACAAATGTAATTGACGCGCACTAGTCAAAAGCACAGGACGCATAATTAAAATCCAGTTGTATGGTACTCCAGACAAACAGGCAGGCTGCTCCAGCATCTCTGCTGACATTGGGATTCCCGACAAGTAAAAAAAAAACACCCGAATTCAAACGAAATTGACGTTTTAATCATTTTGCCGATTTACGTAAGTTAAACACGAGACACGTTCACTGATAGCTGTCTGTGTGGGCGCTAATCGGGCTACTCAGTTTTGGTTTTTCACCGCGTGTGTCACTCAGAGCAGGCGCACAACCCACGTGGAGCTCAGGAGGTCGGGCTGTTAGCATGTCGGCTAATTCTACCATTAGCAGACAAACCTTTAAACGCACGGTGAATTCATTATTAAAGTCGGCTGCGGGGAAAAACAGCAATAAGCTATGCTACAAGCAGTAAGCTAAATTTTAAATCAGGAAACACCGTGAATCGTAATTAACATCGCCGTTTTATGTTAACATCTCGACGGAAATAAGCGTCAGCGCTTCATTCGTACTACTGCGCTAATGCTAACAATTAAACCAACTACACGTTAGCCAGCATGGTGCATACACCTCAGGTCTTCCAATAAGGATCCACTAAATGTTGCAATCGTTTGGTAAACCTGTGTGACACTCCGTTTAATCAATCTTTCCTTTTAATGTGTCTCTAAACTCCAGGCTTAATACGAGAACGCGCATGAATGCCATCTTGAATAGTCTGTTAGCTTTTAGCAGGCCAGAAAAACCCCCAGCAGCAAGGCACAAACATGGCCGATCACAACGGAGGGGAAACATTTTGTGTAAGTGCAATTATACCACCACGGGGTTTTTTCTCTCGACCAAGCACACTCTTACAGAACCCATTAATTTAATAAACAAAGAGCATTAGTTACGGTACACAAATAGACATTTCCTCCGCTGTCGGTATCCTTTTTCTCTCTGTACGCAGCAACTTCTACGCAAAAGGCCGCATGCGTAAACACAGCTTTTCTATCACAATAGCACAAACCTAAACAGTCAAATACGCGTGATATTTGCTCTTACCTTTGCTAACTTCACCATGTTGCTGTTGTGTGTTTCAACGAAACACAAAGAACTGGACGTTTGGAAACAAGTAACGAAATAGCTAAATGAACACACGTGGCTCAGCCTACTCGGTGGGACATTGGGCAGGAAAGACAGATATGTAGAAGACGCGCTCGTTACTCTCCTGCCCTGCGCGTCCACGTCGACCCGCCCACATGACTGTTTCCACCAATCACAAGTTAGCACATTTCCATCGTGCCCGCGCCTCGCCTACATAGGCAGGCAATGTGTGTGAAATGTAGTACTCCCCGGAAACAAGCGATTTTTGTTAACGGTACTTATAGATAAATAAATGATTAATTATTATAATTTTTTTATTAATAAATAATCACTTAGTGTCAAAGCTTTTATGAAATAATGTTTTGCTTCTGAAGACACAAGTATGCTGAACTTAACACAAACAAAAAAGGTTATTTCCTCATGGTAGTCATATACCTTTAATGTTTAGAGAAATATAATTTGTTGACAATTTCATAATTTCATTATTTCATAAATCATTTTATTTATTTTATGCCCACTCAGCACAAAGTGTCTTTATGCCCCATGCAGCTGTTTATATGGCCCACGTGGTTGGAGCCAGTTGCCATCACTCATCAACCACGTGTAGCGTACCACGCGGATCACAACTCTACCAAGTATAGTAACGTAACGACATTTACTCAAGTACTTTACACAATTTAAGGCACTCATTTACTTTAATACTTCCATTTAATGCTGCTGTATACTTCTTCTCCACTACATTTAAGAGCGCTATTTGTCATAAATTACTAGTTACTTTACAAATAAGATTTTACATATCATCCTAAAAATTATAGGCTACATAGGTTTTATTGAACTACTTAACAATAAAGTTGGTAAAATAGTTCCACCTCAACCTTGCATACAAAATTAAAATCTTCTTAAACATGAAAACATCAGTAACAGAAATTATAGCTATCAGAACATAACAATGTCTGTTCTTATGCACTTTTGGTAGTTTCAGTAGGCTACATTTAAGGCTACATACTAATAATACATGTATTTTATAAACCTAAATTACATAAATTATAATTTGGTAAGATCTTAATATAGTATTCCATCATTGATAACAATTGATAACACATATTGGACAGCCACTGCAGCAGGAAGGATATTGTAGCAGTTCAAATCATTCTCCCCATATGCTCCATCTTCCTCAGCGGATGCAGTTAACTGCCCATTTGTCAAGGAACTGAAGAAATTTCCATTTTAACACTTTGACTTTAAGGACCTTGTCACCAAGTATTAGCTGTTCTGGCACTGGTTCTGGAGCTTGTGAAGGTATTACAAGTCTGTGTGTGTTCAGAATCAAAATCAGAATCAAAATCAGAATCACTTTTATTGGTCAGGTATGTGGACACATACAAGGAGTTCCGGTTTTACGTTGCTCTCAATGTATAAACACAGGCAAAGCATAAATAAACAGGACAACAAGCTCAGTAGACAATAGTGCAAAGATGCTGAAATAAATATTTAAGTGCAGGTTTCAGTATATACGCACATCATAGGTAGATGTATTTGAATTGTATGTATTGATTGTATTTATGTTTTAAAAAAGAAACTGAATTTAAACAATGGAAAATAAATAATAAATAGTTTACAGGTGCAGTAGATGTTAGAATACCATGGTTATTGCACAGGGATTGTTCCTGACACTGTGGGTCTGGAGTTAACTGTTTGTCAGAGTGATGCCTGTTTTTAGAAAGTGTAGAAAGTGTTTCTGTTCCTGTTTGTTTTGGCGTACAGTACAGTGCTCTGTAGCGCCTACCAGAGGGGAGAAGTTGGAACAGGTTGTGATGGATTTGCAGTGATGCTTCCTGCCCATTTCCTGACTCTGGACAAGTATAGGTCCTGAATGGATGGCAGGTTGGCACCAGTGATCAGTGACTGATATCTGCAGTCCTGACTGCTGAAGTTTTTCCTTGCCGCTGTCGCCAAGTGCTTGCTCATGGTGGGAACTGTTGGGTCTCTGTAAATGATTTTATAAGGAGTATGGTCTAGACTTGCTCTATTTTGAAAAGTGTCCTGAGATAACTTCTGTTATGATTTGGCGCTATACAAATAAAATTGAATTGAATTGAATTGACTGTCAATTCCGTTGTAGTCGGTTCCTGTCCTGTTTTACACACATATATGTATACCGGTATATGAAAGTGTGTGTGTTTGTGTGTGTCTGTGTGTGTGTGTGCGTTAGGTAAGCAGGCCTAAGTATTTAATCAAAGACTCAACTGATTCCCAGGGGACACCAACAGCACATTTGAGTAATTAACCCTCAGCACCACACAGAGGCAGCATTGCTCACTTATATCACAGAGCACTGGGTAGAGAAAACTGTTCTGTTTGAACCAGCTTAACCTCGCTTTTTATTATACATATTACTCACAGTGAAATAAGGCTATATTATTTTATTAGTGATTGTGGGTTATTAGCTACATTCATTGGTTTTTAACTGAAAAGGCATGTAAACCTTTTGCATTCAATTTTAGGGGGGAAATCATTTTTGTCACCATTGTCTTTTTAATAGTAGATTGTAAACTCCAGGTCTACAAAACACTTAACAAAGATCACATGTCACTGATCCTGATGATGTCTTTTGAGCTTAAAATATTAAAAACTGGCTGTCATATATCTTTCTGGCAAAGTACATCATAGTTGTCACTTGTCAGCCCCTTTTTCTCAGATTGTTCTAGACCTTGTCATTCCCCAGTAACAGTGACAGGGATGACAATACATCCACACAGCTACATGTATATGGTTGACTTGTTTGACAATCCTGCTTATAATGTGACACTGAGACACTACGTTCGGACTGCAAGCCTCCAAGCATTAGTGCTTCATTCTGATTTATTGATCAGATCTGGGGGTTTTTTGTTTGGTTGTACATCATTTTTTTAAACTGTGGCCCATATCAGATTCCAGTGTATGTCCTGAAGTGAGCCACATGACGAATGTTGAATCTAAAGTGACGTAACAGTCACATGAATTCTGAATTGACTGTTCTCACAGGTCACTTTGCAGAAAAATCCGACCTATAGCTGTATCTGATTTGGACCACAAAGTGGCTCAAATCACAATTTAAAAAGATTCTATGTGATTTGTGCTGTTCACACTCTCATGAAGGGGGTTTCTTTTATCATAGGGAAATGCTCATTTGTTTCTGGGAATACACCCAAAACAGACCAGAGTAAGATTTAAACTTGGCTGTAAATTGTTGCTAAAAGCATACAGTGGTAAATCTTTGGTAATGTTTCTTAAAATGTCAATATTTCTGGAAGTGTTTGCAAACTTACTAATGGAGTTAAATACTAAAAACTCTCGTCTGCTCTTATGAGTCACTGACTGCAGTATGGTTCTACAAATTCTCAACAGAGCCAACTTGTCACAGCTGGCACATGAGGTGGACAAAATAATAGGAACACAGAATACACCAACGTCCAAAGTAAACAACAAGAGTAAAGATACTTTAGAGCATGTTCATTCTCCTTCCTGGACTTGCATATAGATACTGGGCTATTTTTACAAGAAGGAATATCTGTAGTTCTTTGAGTTATAAAGTAAATGGACATCTTCACATACCTGTTACCTTCATACAGACATCAAAATATCTACAAATCTGTGTAAGGCATGTTTTATACAACAATTCAACCCCAAATGTTTCAAACACATGCTTCTGAATAATCTAGAGCAGGGTTTTTTGTGTTTTTTATGGCCAAGGACCCCTTACCTGATAGAGAGACAGAGCAAGGTCCCATACATTGTATACAATTGTGTGGACCCCCTTTTGAAAACCCAGTATCAAGAGCATTAAAAAAAAGGCTGTGACAGAAAGATAATCTGGGTTAAATATGTTTGTTTATAAAGTGATTTGTGATATTAAAACCCTAAATATAGGTACAAATGCTCTGGTAATGCCAAAAAGGGCTCAAATTTAGTAAACATTACAGCCATCCATTGTGGTATCAATGGGTGACACACTCAGTTTCGTTGCTCAGTTTAATGATTGGTTTTTGAATTGTCATCTTGAATATGGAAACATTATGAGGAAACTGTGTTTGAGCCAGGGAGAATTGAATCTTTTGACATATTCACCATATACCTTGACTGTTATGTAACCATATAGAGAAATAGTCAGACTAGCTCCAATGAGGATTTTTGTGCTCTCACACATTTATCTTTTTATACTGGCCTTTGATGCAGCTTAAATGAATGACACTCCTGCCACAAATATCAGTTTAACAGAGCTCACCACATGGAGCAGCTATCCTGCTCAGTGTATTCATCCCTGCTTGTGGCTTATACGACGTTTTTTATCCATGTGGTTGTGGTTGGTTCATCTTTTTGTGACCAGTGTTCCTGCAATTTGGACATCAACTATGTGAGGTATTATTTTTAACAGTATTATTTTTACTCTTTTAAATTAATACCTCATCACATGTATATATGTGTTATTTGAGCACTGTACATTCATTAAAAATGGTTTGTACGACAACTGTGTATAAAATGTCACTGCTGTAATAATATCACACAGGGGACAACATGACTCTCCATAGATCATTGAAAGTCACTTGACTTTTACAAATGTAATATTTTTTCATAAATTGGTAAATAATAGAGTCCATTGTGTGTGTGTGTGTGTGTGTGTGTGTGTGTGTGTGTGTGTGTGTGCCCACAACAGGTCTTTCTTTCCCTGAACTCTATGCTGCCCTCTAGTGTTGGAGTATATTGGTGCAAGTCATCATCACTTGGTTGAGCACTTTTTTTGTATTCTGTAACTATCATGTTTAAGTAGATTCGAAAAGCTTTTCTCAAAATTATTTGGACTAAGTATATAAGTATACCACATACCCTTTTACTAGTGTGTAGACTTTGTAACCTGGACTTTCTGTACTCATTTGAATTCGTAGATCTCTACAGGTGACTACAGTAACTTACATTTGTCATGAAGGTTGGTCTACAAAAACTCGGTAAAATAAATTTAAATACCATGTTTTGATCTTTTTCTTACAGTCTTCTCCCTTCTGGGTGATTATACCATGAAACTGTGGAGCAGCTTGTCTTAGTCTCTTCAGCTTGCTAATTCATTATCACGTTTTCCTCATAAA